CACATAAAGGTTCTTATGCTTTAGAACAAAATCCTGTATTATCAAGATTACCCCCATGTGTGTTTAATAGTTATTTACAACTTTTCAAGACCACTTAGTGTAGAAAATAAAGCTCCCCTCCATGCTTACTAAAACTTCTTTGAGCTTATTCTATTCTCCAAGGGAAAAAATGGCTTATTATAAAACCACAATGCCCAAGGCTACCAGAAAACAATGCGAACAGGATGTTTTCTCCTTTCTCTCTGCAGGGAAATCCAATTACACTACTACCAATATCTTTTTTCCTTGTTACACAGGAAAATATTTTTTGATGTTTGATACATTTAAAAAAATATTTTAAATTATTTATATGCTTGGTAGAAATTTGATACTCTGCTCTGAAAGGCATATTGAAAATAATTACCATTGAAAAGCAATAGGCATTAGGGTTGAAGTCACTGCCCAAAGCAACTATTACTCCTTCATCTAACATCTTCCTGGCTCGAGGTTGCTTCAGCCTAAGGGAGGGGGAAAAAGATGTCAGTATCCAGAATGGGAGCTTTTGCAGAATAGATGTTCCAAATGGAAGGAGACTTAGGATATCCAAGCCTTATTTCTTCTGGGAGAAGAAACAGAAATTCAAGGTTAAGTGATTATTGATTGATATTTCCTGATTGTAGTCTACGTTAATGTATGTGCATAAGATCATAATAGGTGTCAGGAAAGCACTGAAATAGTTCTTTCTTCTCCCTTATAACCATTACTCAAAGCCTTGTTTTTCAATCCTTAAGACAGCATTTTTCAACCTTAGCACAATTCATTTCTTGTGCTGGATAATTCTTTGTTGTGGAGTTGTTCTGTGCATTGTAGGATGTGTAGCAGAATCACTGGCTTCTATTCATCAGAGGTCAGTAGCACCACTTAGTTGTAAAAAACAAAAAATGTCTCCAGACATTGACAAATGTCCCCTGAGGGGCAAAAATCACTCCACGTCGATAACCACTGTGCTAAGGCCATACCTGCTGAATCACTGCCTTGAAAACCAGGTATCCCAACCTCACAGAAAGCACCTGGTTGTAAGAGGATAAAACGTCTCTTGAATGCCGGCCTCCCTGACCACAAACTTGTGGTCGTTATGCAGGTGGCACAAAGGAAAGAGTCAGAAGGATCTCAGATTTGGTAGAGTTAGAGCAATGGCAGTTACACAAGATGGACTAAATGTATTCAATCCACAGAGGGCACACAGCACAATTCCTGGAGAGATTATTACAGAATAGACATCTCCTCTTTCCTCTCACCCCCAGGATTTATGAGGATTCTGGTACACAATTGTGCACCCACACTCAACTTCTCAGAAAACAGCTCATGCAGATTCTGAATACTGTTAAGTATCCTTAATATCTTATGCATGTTTTTTTTGTTTGTTTTGTTAGGAAAGAGCGAGAGAGAGAGAGAGAGAGAGAGAGAGAGAAAGAGAGAGATAAAGAAGAAGAAGAAGAAGAAGAAGAAGAAGTTTTTAAAGTATAAAGCTTACTTCCTTTTTTCTTCTAATTATAAAGGTAATGCATACTGATTTTTCTTTAAATTAGAAACTCCAAAACTAGTTAAAAGAAAAGAAAAGAAAAAGAAAGAGCCACCGTCCCCAACACGCCCACCACTGAAGGTCAATTTAGTTCTGAGCTCCTTCCTCAGGAGAATTCATTTCTGAACATCATTCCAGAATTGGCACCTTCCATGAGCTAAGTTTTCTTGATCTGCATTATTAAGGGATTTGGAAGGGCAATGAGATTAGTTAGGCATCTTGGAGGTCTGTGTCTTCACAACATGTACGTGCAGCTCTTGTGTAGGGGTGAGGATGACCTCACCTGAGCATATAGGCCGTGGTGGGCAGAAGAACCGCGGAGCACCCAGCCGTTGCCATGGCAGCAATGCCTTCATCACTCACTTCTTCCAGGTGACTGATTGCCCTGGCTCCCAGCTCAGCCCCGAGCTAAGCAGAATGAACAGAAAGAAAAAGATTTAACCAACGGCAACAACAAATTAATAAAGTGCCATGAAACTGCTTTTCCTGCCAAGATAAATAGCACTCTCTTAGGAAGATTTCCTGTCAACTACCTTTCACAAGCACAAGCCCCAAAATGGATAAAAGGTTTGTGATGGACATTCATTTGAAAAGTAGCTAGTGTGCTGCTTTAACAACTATTTGTCTACGCAAATGCTTACTGACATTCTTAAGACATTTGCTAAAAAAGAAAATGTTATGGATCTTATGAATCAGAATAATACACTGAGTAATATTGATAACAAAATCTATTACAGCATCATAAAATCACAAGAAAAATGTATCTTGGAATGCCACTGCTCTCAGTGAAAGCAGATAATCAGTTAAGAAAACAAACTTTAAAAATGTGGATCATGTGTGTAATTTGAGAATACTCCTTGAGCTTGAGTTCTCTCCAGATGAAAAGTTTGGCTACTTTGTTAGAAAAAAACCAAGAAGAGGCAAAACCAAGAAGAGGATCATGGAATCACTAACGTGGATTTCTTCTCATCTTGACAATTTTACTCTCTCTCTCTCCCTCACGATGCCCAGGATGAAAAGTGGTATGTTAAGAAGACATATTCCAAGGAGAGGAGAGGAGACAATATTTGACGTTGCACTGCAGCCCAAGCAGCTGCAGTCCCCCCAACACCAGGGCAGGGATGGCCCCTCATCAGCAGCTGGCTCAGGTCTAAGAGCGTCAGGACCACAGGACAGACTATGCTCCCCCAGAAGAGTTCCTTTCTGACCTTGGAATCACCCTCACTTTTCCAAACTTGATTTGTTCATCCCGGGTGTTGACCTCTATTGATTTAATTTACCAGTCGCTCTCTACGGCCAAAGGTATCTTGTTGACCACCCCTTTCAGGTGTCACTTAACAAATATTCAACAACTATTTACTTAGTAAAGGCCATGGGTATGCCAGGCACTACCGTAAGCTCCAGGGACAGAGCTGTGTAAGACATGGGTGCAGTCCTCAGTGTTTGCAGTCCAACAGGGATCGTAGAGGTAATTTTAACATAGTGGGGTACAGGAGGAGCTGTTACCCACTGCTGGAGAGCTTTGGGAGGGACCCCAGAGAAGCTGAGGCTAAGATGAAACATAGAAGGGAACTCGAATTAATTGGACAAGGGGGAGTTCAGATTAGAGAAACAATATGTGCAAGGACTGGTAGTTTAATGTGGCTGGTCCACCGTAGGCAGGGTGAAGGTGGTAAAAAGGGGGAGGAGAGAGAAAGGAAGATAGAGAGGTAAACTAGGGCTGGATCCTGGCAAGCCTACATATAAGGTGTTTGGAATTCACCCTATGAGCAATGGTAAGCCTTTAGGTGGTTTTAAGCAATAGAGAGAACGGATAGATACACTATGAGGATGGATTACAGAAACAGATTCAAGTGGAGGCAAGCTTGGAGGCAAGAGCAGTTGTTACAGGAAACCAGGTGAGAGCTGATGGTGCTTGGACCCAGGCAGTGGGGTGAAGAATGTGGACCTAGAGATATGCAGGAGGAAATTGGCAGAACTTGTTGGTTGGCTGAAATGTGGTAGGTGAAGGGGAGGGAGGAGTCAAATGATTGGGTTTTTGATTTAGGCAATAGATAATGGTGTCATTCACTGGGGCAGGAAACACAGCGCACAATTTGGAAATGGTTTTAAAAGCTCAAGCAGGACATGTGGTTAAGACACATGTGAGGTATCTACATCTGTATTTATATCCAAGGGAAGTTGTCCATTTAGTGCCTCACCCCCCTCAAGAGCTGTCTTATTCACTGATGAATCCTCCATGCCTTCAACAGTGCCTGGCACACACTAGACACTCAAATATTTGTTGAAAGCATAAATAAATGAATCTGGGTAAGACTTATAGATTTGAAAATCATGTCCTCGCTATTAATGGTGTGCTTCACTCACGTTCATCTGAATGATGCCACGGAAAACCCTAGGAGCTGCATGTGAAATTAATAGACTCTGCTAGTATGGCTTTCTGTACCAACCAAAATAGGTTGTGGATTTAATCAGTGAAATCACAAAGGTACTTCTTTCCTACTAACATCACCAGCAGGTGATAATAAAAGTAAATTACCAGCCTGGCCGGAGTGGCGTCGACCTGTGAACCAGGAGGTCATGGTTCAATTCCCATTCAGGGCACATGCCTGAGTTTTGGACTTGCTCCCCAGTAAGGGGCATGTGGGAGGCAGCCGATCAATGGTTCTCTCCCTCTCCCTTCCCTTCCTCTCTGAAATTTAAAAAACAAACAAAAAAAACACAAACAAAACAGCAAAAAAAAATTTCTAATAGAGGTCAGGAATTCCAAGGCTCAACCTGAGCAATCTGCACATTGTTCAAACAAATTTCCCCTCTCCCTATCTTTTCAGAAGGCTGCTCCTGTCTTTGAACAAACTAGGTAAGTTTTCCATAACATGAGTGCTGACAAAAGAAAAGCCAAAAGTCAACTGTACCTCCGCAGCCTTCATCGGGTGGAGTTCATCCCCATGGAAGTTAATCTGTAACCCTATATCTTTTCCACCTTGAAGAATCCTTCTGGTAGAATCCAGGTCAAAGACACCCTTCTCACAGAACACATCTATATTGTCAACGTGAATTTGCCCATTTCTGCCAAGTTCCTTCAGCTTTGGGAGGTGGTTATTGATGATGTCATCAGCAGCTTCAGTAGCAGTTTTTCCTCTGAGGGAAGAAAAGAACATTTCCATGGGCAAATATATTTTTTAACTGGAAGAAGGGTTTTTCGGTGCTTGGAGAATCTGAGAAACTGTAGGTAAATGATCTCAAGCCTCAGAAAAGTACAAAAAGAATCAAAGCTATTAACAATTGTGACATGCCTACACAGCAGAGGTATTGATAAGACTTCCATATGCTCTGACCCTATTCACAGAGACTCAAATGGCTCATCCATTCTGGCACACCAGTGTTGCCTTTGGGAATGCCGGCAAGGTCATCTGGCTGAAAAAACAGAATCGACTTGTCAAGAGCACGTAGAGGGCATCCTGAAGGCATCCCTGACAACCCAACTGCAGGCATCTTACCGGGGCCCCAGCTATCACCCTGTCTTTTTTCTTCCTCTACACCAGTGATGGCGACCCTTATGAGCTTGGTGTGTCAGCGTTTTGAAAAACCGTAACTTAACTCTGGTGCCGTGTCACATATAGAAATTTTTTGATATTTGCAACCATAGTAAAACAAAGACTTATATTTTTGATATTTATTTTATATATTTAAATACCATTTAACGAAGAAAAATCAACCAAAAAAATGAGTTCGCGTGTCACCTCTGACATTCGTGTCATAGGTTCGCCATCACTGCTCTACACTATTTCTAGAAGCATCTGCCTAAGGCTTCCTGACTCACCATTTGGGGACATGGAAGAAGAGGCTAGTTAAGGCCCCAAAATTCTCAATGAGATTCTGGGGTAGTTATATATTAGGGCTTTTGGGGTAGTTATATATATATATATGGGCTTTTGAAGTCAAATACACACAGAGCTCTACCGCTTGCTAGCTACCTAACTCTTTGGACATGTGATTTAGCTGTCCTTTGGCATACTCTGAGCCTCAGGCTTTATCACTGGGCACCAAGACGCAGACCTCAGAGGCTCATTGGCAGATGGAGAAACTCTAAAACTTTGGTCCCATAATTGGCACATAGAAGCCTCTCATTCAGTGAAAACCATTCAGGTGGGTAGACAGAGGAGACGGGCACTTACATATAATTCTCAAGATAATTGTATAAAATAGGGTGTTATGTAGCTATTTTATAGGTTAGTAATTCATGTTCAAAAAGTTAGAAGATGCCTCAAAATCACCCAACCGGGAATAGTTAAGCTGGATTCAGACCCAGGTCTGCTACCACTCCAAAGTTTGAGTCTTTTCTACCATGTTACACTGTCCTTTTACTAAAAAAAAAAAAAAAAAAAAAAAAAATACACAAAAAACAGGCCATCACACACCTTATATTCCATTTGAAAAAAATCTGTTTCTATTGACAGACTCTTCCCAGAAGTCTTAGGGCAGTTTCAAGCTTTAATAATTTCAGAAATATAAATGCTAAAGACATACAATAAACGTAATTGGAACTATGAAGTATGTACTTGTGCTTCTCTTCTATGTAATTCGTTTTCACTTTTTAATAATAAATTTCAATGTTAATTTCTTTAGTTCCTCTGACGATGGTAAACACAAAATTACCATGAAAATGTTCTGTTTTAGAGTTCCCGAAACGAAATACATTTTATAAAATATATAAATTCTTTTTTCAAATAATTTTTTGCAAGCCTGTAGCATTTATATATCTAAGTTGTCAAAACCTAAAACTGCACTGAGACAGTGGAGTAGCTTGTGAATTTCCAAGTCCTGGATTTCTTTGGGATCTTTTAGTTCTGGGACTGCTTTCCGGTCTAGAAATTCCAGGACACAGAAGATGCAGATGTGTCAGGAGACAGCCATCCTCATCATTCTTTGTCAACCCCATGAGTTGTGAGCATTTCCTCTTCCTTCACCATCAGGGGACTAGCAAAGTGATGGGTCTGGTGGGGGTCACCTTCCTAGAACCATGTGTGAGATGACTGACTGACCATCAGACTCAGAACACCTTCCCAAGGACTTGTACAGATCTCTCTGCAAGAGCTAAAGCTGTGAGCCGCCGTTGGGGAAAGCGGCCCCCTCAATGCCCAACCGAGTTAAACGCCGGTCCCATCGGCTGCAGTTACTTTGGCACTGAGTGAGCCCCGCAGTACGTGGCCGAGATGCCGATGGCCATCTGCCGCCGGGCGCGCTCGATCACGCGGAGCATCTTGAGCTCGGTCTCCAGGTTGAGGCCGTAGCCGCTCTTGCACTCCACCAGCGTGGTCCCCGCCCGCATCATGCACTGCAGCCGCTGCTGCAAGGAGCCGAACAGCTCCTCCTCCGAGGCCTGGCGCGTGCGCTCCACGGTGAAGTTGATCCCTCCTCCGGCCTGGTGGATTTCCATGTATGTGGCTCCTGCCAACTGAACACAACGCTCAGCTCACCGTTAGGCAGAGCAAATGCAGGGAGGTTGCAGGCAGGTCTGCAGAACCTACCTGCGCGGGGGCGGGGAGGGGTATTCAAAACGATTCACAATCTATATGCTAGTAGTGACTAGCCAATCAGAAAAGGGGTGGGGGCAGGCAGTTCCCAGAGAAATACTGGGGTGACAGAGATGGGAGATGTGGTGGAGACTTCTGGTCTCAGGGCAGCAGCAATTTACCATCGGGTACAAAAGTATTTCAGTATTTTAACAATCCAATCTACCCAGTGTATACCAGTTAAATCTCTGCCTATGTCTCAGCACCTTTAAGGAAACAAAGGCCCCAAGGGGAGGGTCCCACTGCAGCCATTCAAATCTCCAGCAAAGAGACCTCAGTATTTGGCCACAAGAGTTTGGGACCTGACCTCTGTGGCTCAAGCAAATGAAGAGGCTCTTTGTGGGATCCCACTGGGCTCCTGTTACTCTGGGCAGCAGGAGGGTGGTGCAAACATAGTCTTCCTGCCCGGGGTCTCCGCCATGTTCATCTGGGTTCTGCCATGGTGAGCTGGTGAACGCAATGGACACCCTTCCCAATGTGGACCCCACTTTCCACATCTATGCAATGAGAGAACTGGATTGCAAAGCTCTACGGTTGCTTTTTAGAAACCTGGCTCTGAAAAGTTGGCTCTGAAATCCTGTGATTTAATAAAGAAGCCTTAAAAGCAGCTCTAGTGTGTTGGGGAAGGTACACAATATCTGAGAATTTTTTCTTTTCCTAAATAATGCAATTTAGCTGTTAGTATACAGACTTTCTCAGAAACAAAGTGAAGAAAAGGTATGGAGAAAACTCAAGTGGGTATCACCAAAAGGAAAAAGCCAACCTGGAAAGGCTACATACTGTATAATTCCAACTACATGACATTCTGGGGAAAGCAAAAGCATGGAGACAGTATAAAGATCGGTGGTTGCCAGGGGTGAGGGGAAGAAAGGAATGAACAGGCAGAGTGCAGAGGATGTTGAGGGCAGTGTAACTACTCTGAGTTATCCCACAATGGTGGGTACATGTCATTGTACATTTGTCCAAACCCAAGGTAATGTAAACTATGGACTCTGGGTGATAATGTGTGTCCATGTAGGTTCACCCATTGTAGCAAATGTACCACTCTGCTGGAGGATGTTGAAAATGGGGAAGACTGGGGCGGTGGATGGATGGTATGCGGAAAATTTCTGTAGCTTCCACTCAGTCTTGCTGTGAACCTAAAACTGCTCTAAAAGCTAAATTCTGATAAAAACAAACAACGTAAAATTGGCTCCAACTAGCGATTTGAGGGTCTACATCTTATTAATGACTGATATTTTATGTTTCTTAATAAATCTCATTTTTTTTCTGGAAAAAATGAGAACAATATGAGATGTATTTTATTTTTGTTATGAGCAATATATTTTTCCTGGTTTGACCCTAATGAATGGTGATTTTCAAACTGTTTCCTGGAGCCTTTTCAAAGGCTCCCAGAGCTGGTGGGATGGGTTGGGGGAAGGAAAAGAGAGGAGAAATTAGTGAGCAAGGCAGCTCAGCGCTGTTAGAATGAAGATTCTACAGTTAAAATTTTTTGAAAACTATTATACTTAAAGCGATTGTTATCCCTGTGCATAGTATAAAGATTTGGGACAGTTATAAAATAGTTAGTTTTGTTCTAATTTATTTTCCATAGTCCAGGCCAGTAAAAATATCCTTAAAAAGACACATAAGCAAAGACACAATGTCAAATCTATGTTGCAAAGCCTGACAGCCCACGGACTCTTTAGAAAAAGACTTGTTTGTTTGTTTATGCTTCATTTTGATTTGCAATCATTCATTGCAATTACCTTCATTGCAAACTCGTGAACTCTCTCACCAGCCCATACTGGATGTGTGTGTGCATCCACCAAACCTGTAATCAAGAAATCAAATCATTTTTAAAGTTAAGAATCAGAAAGCAGGCCCAATACACATCCTGCTCTTTGGAAAGCATGAGGGTGGTCAGCCATCTTGGAGGGGGTGGAAGAGGAAGAATTTGTCTATTAGAGGCCAGCTCTAAAAGAGGAGGGTGACTCAACATGATGAAAATATTCCTTTAAAAAAAATACAGCTCCTTTTGCCCATTAAGCTCATGCTCACCAAGCGAGCTTTTGAAATAGGATGTCAACCTGAGTTGAGCAAAACCAATGACCATATCACCAAGGTGATAGTCTGGGTGTGAAAACAGAATCATACAATCCCTACTGTCAACCTTGAGAAAGAAAAATATGAAATCAGAAAGATAAACCTTTCTTCAAGAAAGAAATACATTTTTAATTAAAGAGAAACTATAAAGCAATCACTTGGAACTTTTGTTTACCCTGGTACAATTCAGAAAGGTGTGTCTTTCCAGGTTATGTAAAATACCTAATGGATCAAGTGGCTGATGAGTGGGTTCTGATTTGGAGTAAAATCAAAAGTCTTTATTCAGATCACTTTCTATTGTATTCTGTGCTTTCTCATAAGGTTTCACCCTGGCTTTATTTTCTATCTCCCAAGAGCCAAAAGGTAGAAGCTCTATCAGGTATACACAATACACACTTGAAATGGATAAATATTAGCCTCTAAGTTTGCACAGAACTCAGAGTTTGTGAAACTAGTTTCAGATCATTACACAAAGCCACAAAACATAGATCATATAGTAGGAAATGGTAAATAAGCTGACTCTGATGTCAATCTCCAAAGATACATCGTCAGTGAAATCTCTAGGGATTTTTCTTTCCTTTTTCCATCTACAGATGGGTCCTTTGTTGCATATTCTATTCTTATTTAAAGTATATTCTGGTAGTGGAAGTAGCAGTTTTCCCTGTTTTCCCTCCCTACACAACACATTAATAAAATTCTTCTCACAGTTTTTTAACCTAAACATAACACACCTGGTCTCTCTGCATTATGTGAATGGGAAGAAGTGGAATGAATGCATGGGTCCGAGTCCCAGCCTGCCCTTTACCTGTGTAGCAATCAAGGGTAAGATATTTCACCCCTGAACTTCAGTGTTCTAATCTGTAACATGCCCATAATGATCTTACCTTATAGGGCAGTTAAAGGATTCAGTGTGAAAATATGTTTGTAAAGCAGCTGGCCATTTAATAGTAGAAATTAGATAAATTATAATTATTATATTTCAATATCATTGTAGGACCCTCTTTAAAACAAGCTACTACTCTTCCTCTTTATTTTACTAAAACTGCATTCCGGTTTTTACTGAAAAGAGGTTGATACCTGGCAAGATGCATTTCCCAGAACAGTCAATTCTTTCTTCAAACGTTTCTTCAGAAAACTGTTCTTGAATAACATCAGCAGGACCGATGGCTTTTATCAACCCATCCCTGAAGAAAAATCAAGGAATAATTACTAGTGTTTGGGGGACTATTGTGAGAAATCTGACTAATGATTTAAAATATGTTATCGATGTCTCTTCTTGTCAGTCAATATTTACTGTATTTCTTTTTTGAAGTTCTGACTTTCGGAAAGTGGCTCTAGCCACCTGTAAGGCAAAAGGTCAACTCATGTGTAGCAGAGAATGCTAGTTGTTCTCTGAGACCCATGTTCCCTTTTCTCAAGGTGCTAGGTTCCTAAAATTTAGCTGGACACATGATCACCCAGAATAAAGATACATTTCCCAGTCTCTTGGCAACCTGGTGTGGCCATGTGACTAAGTTTAGTCAATAGGATTGCTTTCTCTTCCTCTTTCCTAGTGGAAATACAGACACCATGAGAGACTGAGCAGTCCCGTGGGATGATGGAGTGACTGGAGCAAAAGGGTCTTGCACAACAGAGCAAGACAGTGGGGGGCCTGAATCCTCAGGACTCCAGATTGTGGCCGTCAGCTAGCCTTGGATTCTTACTTTTGTGCAATTCCGCTAACTGATTTTAACAGATTTTGACAGTAACGCTGGAAATGGTTGGATCCCTTTGTTAATTAGAAACACACAGTCCCTAAAAGTTGAACTCTTACACAACCCTAAGCAGCTCAGCTATGAGGTGATACTGACTGACTGCTCTTGCACAAGCCCGGCCACGTAGCTCTCTGATTCAAATTGGCATCCAACCCTTATTCCCACCCCAGGCCCGCCCTCCCAAACTGGCTGTTCTGTTATTCACTTCTAGCAGGAAGTGCAGAAGGTTTAAGGAAAATAATTGAAAATGCCCTCGTTTTATGGTGGCTGAACCGTAATTTCCTATTACCCCCAAACCATCACCATCTAAACCAGTGGTTCTCAACCTGTGGGTCGCGACCCCTTTGGGGGTCGAATGACCCTTTCACAGGAGTCACCTAAGACCATCCTTCATATCAGATATTTACATTACAATGCATAACAGTAGCAACATTACAGTTATGAAGTAGCAACGAAAGTAATTTTATGGTTGGGTCACAGCATGAGGAACTGTATTTAAAGGGCCAGAAAGTTGAGAACCACTGAAACGTTTGCCTAACGTTTGCCGTATAGTTCCCAAGCTTTAGTGCACAGAAGAAAGGAGTGGGAGAGGTATTTATAAAAATTCAGGTCTCAGAACTCCACCACGGAGATGCTGGGGATGAAAAGAAAAAATGGATCCGGAGATGAAGGTAGGGGGAGGTGGCCGGTCTGAAATCTGTCTTCTTATTTATTTATTTATTTATTTATTTATTTATTTAATTTATTTAATCAATCTCAGGCCATCTGACGCAGGTGGCCCCTTGGCCACAGTTCGAGAAGCCCTGGAAAGAGCCCCAACCCCTTCTGATTGCTGGACAATGATATTTTATCCGCAGAGGCGTCCCAGTGCCATGTGCAGCTTGAGTGCCGTTTTTCCCACACCGAATGACAACCCGAGACCATCAAACCTGTTAGCAACAGGCTCCTAAAAGGCAGTCCAGCCAATGTCTCGCCGGGTTCGGGAAAGTTTTTACCCAGTTTCCCTCCACAGCGCACACATTCTAGAAAAAGCGGCCAGCTAGGACCCGTCGGACGGGTCCCTCCAACCCGAAGCCACTTACGTGCCCACCACCAGGCTGGCG